TAAACAGGACCAGCCCACTAGCTCAGTTCGGTCCGTTCTCGCCTTATCTGACCTTACAGAGGTAATCGGCAACCCTCGGTCACTCAGCTCGTGAGTTTTTTTAGTCTTTTCAATAGTTACGCAAGATTCTCGTCTGCAAAGCGACAGCTTCTGAATCCATCAGACCGCTCACACACGCATCAACAATTCGTATTTTGACGAAATGTCACCCTATCTGGTAGCTTTAATGTTTTGCATAGTTTTCACTTGTTCGCAGCAGAGGCTCCACCAGAATAACCACGCAAAATATTATACTTAAATAATATAATAGGCATCCTTGAAGAGCTCCGATGATTTCTGCGAATTTTGAAATATTTATTTTCCATGGTCATGCCGAACGTTGAAACTCCATAACCTGTCAAAAAAGTTTTTTACAAATGGTCACGCTGTATGGTTCAACCAATTAGAGACCGAATTACAAAATTTCCAGCGCCATCTTTCTCTGCGGGAGTGTAACGTTGGTTGCAAGCGTGGGAGGGCGGTTGGGCGACCCGAAATTAGCCCAGTGGTTGTGTCTTACCATTTTGCTAAAGAAATTGATCGTGATGACGTCCCAGGGCGGAGGAAAGGCGCGGGACAAGCTGTCTCATCGGAACAAGCCATACGAACGCCGACGGGTAGGTGCCAAGATGCCACGCGGTGCGCCAGTTATGTATTCAGGCGTGCTGAATGCATCCGGAAGCGGAGCTCGCGATATTTGAATCATCTGTCAGTATATGATCATTAGCACACACAATAATTTAAACACATCTTTACACTGTCTTACAGCCAGCAGAAGGTAATGATGGTGCGAAGGACCGTGTAGTGCAGGGCAGAAACTGGCAGGTGGTTGTTAGCAATAGTACCATGTCAGCATCTGACGGTGCTAGAAGCTGCTTAATTGATCTTACATAGTCCTGCCATTTATTCGTAACTATAGCGCAAGGTACAGTGTTAAAATGTGGTGTGTCACTTGTTCAGTTTTTCATTGTTTGCTATCAATTTTTGTAGTGTTAATGTG